GTGCCACCGGGGGGCCTCTCATAACAGGCGAGTGCATCTTAACAGCTGAGCTAAATGGTTTTTAAACTGGATATATTGTACCTTTTAAGTATAGCTTTTTTAATTTCGCGCAAAGCTACACGAGGGCTATCTGCGCTAGCCATCCCTAATTTAGCAGTGTAAGACTAGAGGGAAGGCAGCTAGTCATCACCACCCACCGCCAACTCTTGGACTACTCTTTTACCAACGAATAGTGGGATTGACCGTCACATTATAACGCCCCCACGGTTGAAAGGGCGAGCATGTTTGGTGTGACGGGGATTCGAACCCGCGACCCTCAGATTGCGAGTCGAGCGCCTTAACCACCTGGCCATGCCAAGCCTCCTAGTAAAGGCAACTGTCATTCCGTCTGCACAAGTGCGTACACTGTACCTTCACTTTGTTTGTCATAATAAAGATTTTGTTCAATTATTTACATTTGTCCAGACTTATTATTTTATACTTAAAGAAACTCGGTCAAGATATCTATTACAAAACACTCCTCCTATTTCTTGATAGAATCTCCTGTTATTTGTGGGTTTGCCTTTCTGACACTTGTGTATATGCAACTTATATATTTGATAAGTTTACGGGCTAAACGTCATCACAAATTAAAAAGGTGGAGAAGATACTATAGTTCTAGAAAGTTCTTGAACTTTAAGTGTTGGAAATATTTACGCAGAGTAATTGCAACTTTTCAACCAACAGTTCTTGTGAACATTAAGGTACAACGTGTTGCAAGCTTTTTTATTCCTGTATTTGTTTTCTTGCAAAAAAATGTGTTTGATTAATTTATTTTTGAATATTCAGAATTTTTTCACAGTCTTCGTTATATTATATAATTTGTAATTTTTAGGCCTACAGAGTACATGGTTCTAGTTTTCCGACCAAAAGAAGTAAATTAAGAGTTTTTTTTGTTTGCTGTTAAGCTCCAAGCTACACAATCATCTGCCCTCTAGTGGCACAGCGGTATGTCTGCGGACTTATAACTCTAGAAACCGGGTTTCGATACCCATGGTGAGCAGAGCACAGAAAGCCCATTGTGTAGCTTTGTGCTTAACTTCAAAGAACCAACCACAATAGTCTATCGATCTGTGCTCTACTAACCGAGTACATTAAAACCTGATTTTCAACATTATAAACTTTAAGACTTACTACTGAGCCACCGCGGAGCAGGTAAATATTTAGGGATTTTTTTTAATTCGAAAGTTTTTAAATTAAAATATAAAATGTTTTTTTTGCCGCAAAAATGTTAGTATGAAAACGGAATCAGATATATTTTTAACTGAGGCCTTATATGAAATGTCTTAAATAATTTTATCTTCCGTATAGTGTGGTTGGTTGTTTAGTTTGTAGTTAAACACAAAGCTACACAAGGGGCTATCTGTGCTCTGCCCACCACGGGTATTGAAACTAGGTTTCTAGCGTTCTAAGTCCGCAGACATATCGTATAGTGTGTATATCCGGCAAGTTAGTTATATAAAAAACAGGCTAAATTAAATGGATTTGTTATAATAGTACTCGGTTTTTGTTTGTCCTGAAAATGCGGGCGCACTTAATTTCAATGGATGTAAACAAAATACAGATGTAAATATACTTTAGCAAACATTTTGTACAGAAAACACATTAAAAACTTAAAGTCTTAAAAAGGTTTAACGTCAGGGCGTAGAATAACATTATAAGTTTATTTATTAATAATTTTAAGTACTGTAAAGTTTAGCCCTAACTAATTTAAAGCAAAAAACGTACAGAAGCTACAGTGTTAATTTATGTGTCTACCGAATATATGCAGTACTTAATAAAGGCTTAACTAATGTTAAGCCTAAGACAAGTGGAGTTAAAGATTTCGGTTCTGCGACTAGAATTCTTTTGTATCATTCTATAAATGCTATATTCAAAGAATTCCTGTTGCAATAATGAAACTAACGAATGTGGCCGCAAATGTCTCTGCTAGTTTATTCATATTTGAAGTTGCTTTTGTGTATATTCAAATACGCGAAATTATTTTATTTACCCTTTCGTAAGTTTTCTATTATATATGAGATCCATAAAACATGGATTTTTTTTTTCAAGAATTATTTATTTTTCATAAGATCAGAAATATTCCATTCAAATACATTTGTGGCAAAAAAAGGCTGGTAACATAATTTCTGATTCACAGAAGGTATGGTAGAAGACAAAGAGGTTAAAGTACGCTTGCGGGCACTCACACGTTTCTTGATTTGGTTATATCTTTAAAAACTTTGGTAAATTTCCAGAAAGTGCAACAAGTTAAAGCCAATGAATTACAAAAGACCATGAGTTGTGATTTATTTTGATACTATAAATTTCTCTGAAAACAACAGTAAAGTTTTACATGTTTTGAGCAGTATGACGTACAACATTCCCGAATTTTATTTAAATTGCAGCCTTTTCGGCTAAATGATTATTATTGTTATAGAAGTGTAACGATAAAATCATAACACCGGAAGACTCTTTCTACATCTTTTCTGAATAAGATGAGAAAAATCTGAGATCTTAACATTCTGAAGATGTCAATGAAAAGGAACAGACTCAACTTGCTCCAGGTAGGGACTCGTAAAATTGTTATCACAGGACTTATAGCACCAAATATTCAACCATCATTATACGATTTTTTTAAATCATTTACAATCGGAAAAAAAGAAATATTTTTTTTTACAAATTAGAGATTGCGCAAAACAAAAACAAAAATGAATGAATAACACACACACACACATCAGGAGATTCAGATTTCTACTACAGTCGGAACTTAAAAGAGAGAGAGAAGTATTATGAGCTGTCACAAGACCAACATTTTCCTTTGGTTCTTCGTATTTTGTCATTAGTATAACCGGAACGACCTGGTACCGAGAAAAACAAAACAAAAAAAGAATAAGCGACCACATCTGAGTAAGCAATATAATTCTATCTTCTATTAAGCACAATATATAAAAATTAAAGAGGGAAAAACTACAAGTTGGTTTGAAGAATATTAATAAAAAAAATCACAAAACTTTTATTTTTTTAATTTTCTCTTACGCTATAAAACTACGTTAAACCCATCAAAAATATACGTCCTTAATGGCTATTTTCATTAGCACAATTCTATAGAAAAATACAATCACATTTCTCTGCAATTGTTAAAAATAAAATAATTCTAGCAAAGTGCTCCAACTCATCAATGAAACAATAAAATGTTGTTTTGGAACGTTATATTGTTTTATTGGCTGTTCTGAAATTTTTTTTTCGGTATTAATAATAAAAAAATTATAGTCCACACGAAATACTGGTACTGAGAATGCTTTTCGCACTACATTTTGTTGCTGTTGGTTTTCTTTATGTGATTCTATTATATCAAATTTTATCTATTCTGAAAACTTGCGCGCACCTTCATATCTAAATGCGCATGCGCGCAAACTTATTACAACAGATGTAAACAAAACGCAGATGTAAATACACTTTAGTAGACATTTTGTACAACAACATATTAAAAGCTTATCAAAGTTTTTAAAAAAAGGTCTAACGTTAGGTCGTAGAATAACATTATAAGTAAATTTACTGATAGTATTAAATACGGTAAAGTTTAGCCGTAACTAAACTAAAGTAAAAAAATGTATACAAATTACAGTGTTAATTTATCGAATATAAGCCGATGCTTAATAAAGAATTAACTAATGTTAAGCCTAAGACAAGTGGACTTGTAGATTTCGGTGATTGCGATTAGAATTATTTTGTATTAATCCAGCACAGTGCTTCCCAAACTGTGTGCCGCAGAAGGGTCTCAGGCGTGCCGCGGCATTTTTGCAATTATTAAACAATTTTTATTTAGTAATGTAAGTTTATTATCCATTAAATACATTTTTTTTAACTTTCAAATGTGATTTATTTTCTCCTTGATATACAGCACAACAGTAATTTCTGCCTTTCTTAGTCAGGGGGGGTGCCACTAGGCCTGCCATATAGTTTGCTTGTTTTGAATTTCGCGCAAAGCTACAATAGGAAGAAAGCTAATTTCAATTAAAATGAATGTTTATACATACAATTTCTCTTAAAAAAGAGCCTGTTTCCATGTATGTGCATCTTTGTTTTGAATTTCGCGCAAAGCTACACGAGGGCTATCTGCGCAAGCCGTTTCTAATTTAGCAGTGTAAGACTAGATGGAAGGCAGCTAGTCATCACCACCCACCGCCTACTCTTGAGCTACTCTTTTACCAACGAATAGTGGGATTGACCGTCACATTATAACGCCCCCACGGCTGAAAGGACGAGCATGTTTGGTGTGACGGGGATTCGAACCCGCGACCCGCATATTGCGAGTCGAGCGCCCTAACCACCCGGCCATGCCGGGCCCCCTGCTATATGGACTTATTTATATGTGCCCCCAAAAGTTTGGGACATTAAAAGTGTGCCGCAAGCTGAAAAAGTTTGAGAAGCACTGATCTATGAATTTAAAGAAGTACTGTTGCAATAAAGATACCAATTTTACTTCAAATGTTTTGTGGATATTCCTAGTTATATTAATATCGTTGTATACCTTCAAAAAAATTGTTTAGTTCCATGTAATTTAGAATATAATCATATCCCTCGCTTAAATACAGTATTTTGATACAATAAATTATAACTTTGTCCTTTCATGAATTTTTAATACAATAGTTTAAAGCTTACTATTTTACTCTCGTGAATTTTAATGGAGCTGGAGGTAGAGACAGGCAAAGTTTTAATTAAGCCTTTGTGTTGAGATTTTTACACTGATACATTGTCTCCTGTGAACTCCATGTAAATGAAGTTCATATAAAAAATCAAAATCGGTATTATTTTTGAAACCAGTTGCTTATTAAATTAATTTATCAATTATTTTTAATTTGCATACTTATATATTGATAATATTTTCATTAATCTAAAAAAAAATCCTTTCATCAGTTCTTAGTTTTAAGCCTAACATGAATGATATTTTAATGGCCGTCATATAACGGGAAATAATGGTTCATTTTTCTTCGCAAGATTATATCTAAATAAATGTTTTATGAACACGTTTTCTAAAAATGAATTATAATCTAGTAACAATATATGTATGGAGAATGACAATCCTATTGCTAGTATTTAATTTTTTATGTATATTTAGTCATCTTTAAGTATTAGTTGATTAGCATTTTTACTTCTGTATATTTTTTATATTCAAATGTTCTTCTTGATAAATCCTTATAGATTGAAACATGCGAAAAACTGATTCTCAAAAACATATTCCTACTTGGTCAACTGTATGACACTGCAAGTTATTAATTGTGATGGTAAAGGCAGTGAATTTATTATGAATTTCGGAGTCGTCTCTTTGGGCTGTCTTCGTGGTTTTGGCTTTGTTAGCATGTTGGGCAGAAGAAGCATGCTTTAATTTGGACATTTTCAAATTTGAAATATGCTGCGGGTTATTATATAATTCTAGCCGAGGGTTCCGACTGCACAAAATTTAGCGATATTGCGTCAATGTGTCCCCTTGACAACCAAGCAAACGTAATGGGGATTTCCTCCAATTATAATTTTTGTGCGCCAACAGTACAAAGCGTGGGGCGCGCTATACCTAATTCGATTTTATTACTCATCACGATCTATACCAACCTACCCTCAAATATAATTATATGCCCAAAGTAGCGCTTCATCCGTTAAATATATGGTTGGAAGAAATTTAAAAAAGACGAAAAGTGCCATTGTTTCGTGCAAGTTGCGTGTCGATTAGTATCGCAATATCTGCGTGACAGACTAACGGCTTTTTGTCTTTATATAACAATAGACATAAAATAAAGAGACATCTATCCAATCCGTTGCATTCTAAACCTAAGCGTCTGTAAAATATTGTTACGACAGCGGAGGTCACGTGACTTTGGTAACACGTGATAAGTGTCTAGAAGGTTCATGAAGAGGAGAGTGCATTCTAGACGCCCTCTACTCTTGTATATAAGCGCGGCAAATAAAGCGAGATAATTAATTGGATAGCAGACAGAGAGATAGGGAGACAGATAATTGAGTCAATTCGTAAGTAAAGTGCGTGAATCGTTGTGAATTATAGCGTGTGTTGAAGTTAAAGTGACTGTGGAAATTAAGTGTATTGCAAAGTTATATGGAGAAAGAATAAACTAGTTTTATTTAAGAAAGGACTTGTATCGCTGAAGTTCTTCGGAAAGAATTTTTACGGGAAATTAACAAACGAACAGAAACGTAACAATATTAAAAAACAAACAAACATCTTAGTGGAATAACTAGTTATATAAATTAACAAAAAATTGCGAGTGTATATTTCAGTTAATTCTGTTCCTTAAATCTAACTTCAAAGCCACAATAATAAAAAAAAACTTGTTAGAGAAAACAAGTAAAGAACAGTTGAACGTTTTCTGTAAGTCTACTTACTACAAAACCATAATCATTTCAGCGTCAGACACCACACACTATTCCTCTTCTTCTTCCTCCTCCTCCTCGTCTTCTTCTTCTTCCTCCTCCTCTTCTTCCTCTTCTTCTTGAGCAGGCGTTTGCTCAGGCATGGAAGGCATATGTAGTTCCATATCTTCTTCTTCTTCCTCCTCGTGACGAGAAACACCTACCTCCTTATTCTTGGGAGCAGAAGGATCCCATTTCACAAGTTTCGATGGACGTTTTTCCTTAAATTGAGTCATCTTGTCTTCCCACATTTTCTCAAGTTCAGCTTCATAGGCGCTTTCCAAACCCTGTTTAAATTGTATGACACGTTGTTAAAGTTTCTGTTTAAATGAAAGAAAATCAAGATATTGTTATTTTTTAAGTCTTTATGGAGCGAAGTAGCTACACGGTACGACTGAATGCATAACAACAATGTATGTGATTTAACAATACACAGGCCAGTCAGGCAATTCAAACGATATGCTCGATTTATTGCTTTCTCACACGATTAAATGGAATTATTATTATCTGGTATACATGATCTGGATTTAATATACTCGTTGAATCCATATAATATTATATATTCTTTGGATTTCACTTACTATACCACTGAGTTATTATCAGCTCACATAACACTGGATTGTTATATTCTAGTATACTATTAGATTATTATCATGTAGTATATCGTGGGATTATCATACTAGGATATAATAATACCACTAGATTATTATTACCTAGTACATTGTTAGATTATTATTATTATTACCTAGTACATTGTTAGATTATTATTATTATTATTACCTAGTACATTGTTAGATTATTATTATTATTATTACCTAGTACATTGTTAGACTATTATTATTATTATTACCTAGTACATTGTTAGACTATTATTATTATTATTACCTAGTACATTGTTAGACTATTATTATTACCGACTATACCAATAGAATATTACTACCTAGTACATTGTTAGACTATTACTACCTAGTACATTGTTAGACTATTACTACCTAGTACATTGTTAGACTATTACTACCTAGTACATTGTTAGACTATTACTACCTAGTACATTGTTAGACTATTATTACCTAGTACATTGTTAGACTATTACTACCTAGTACATTGTTAGACTATTACTACCTAGTACATTGTTAGACTATTACTACCTAGTACATTGTTAGATTATTATTACCTAGTACATTGTTAGATTATTATTACCTAGTACATTGTTAGATTATTATTCTATTACTTATAACTGAAACATATCTTGGAAGAAAGTACAGCGATCAATAACAACAACAAAAAACATATTAATGTTAAAAATCTTACGCAGTTAAAGATATGAAGAATTAAAAATGTTTTTTTTTTAGTGGATATCACTGTTAAAAATCAATAATCACCTACAAACTACCACGTAAGAGTAAGACTTTTAGGCAGCGTTTATGGCCTAAAGATTAGCGTGCTTTACTTCGGATTGGAGATTCCCACTGCCGCAAAATCACGCTCCGCACTTTGGGGCAGTGGATGAGTCATAAGAATGTAATCCCACTAATCGGCAAGAAGTAGACCCAGAGTTTGTATTGGATGTTGTTGACTAGCTGCCTTCCCTCTATCAACTCATATTTTGGGGATGGTTAATGCAGAAGTAGTCCCAGAGTTTGTATTGGATGTTGTTGACTAGCTGCCTTCCCTCTATCAACTCATATTTTGGGGATGGTTAATGCAGATGGGCCTCAGTGTAGCTTTGCGCGGATATTCAAAACAAACCAAATTATAAATGTTTTGCCCCAAATGGTTTTGATCAATGTTCTATATTGTTTAATTTGGGGATAGGGGGCAGTTTGCCGGCACTTATATAACCCACTGCTATAACTGATTATTAGCTTCTTTGTTAAATGTTTAATGAAAATTTAAAATGTTTAATAACCAAGAATATAATGGGAATGAAAACAGATACAAGGAGTTGTTTGTTTATTGTTAAGCCTAAAGCTACACGTTGGACTATATGTTCTGTGCCAACCGCGGGTACCAAACCCCAATTTTTAGAGTGGTAAACTCCAAGACTTACCCCTGAGCCACCTGGGGAGGGCCATAAGAATATATGAACATTTGATTTTCCCCAGTAGCATAGCAATAAGCTAGAAGGCTTGTAACGATCAACTCCGAGGTTCAATTCCTCACAGTCGACACAATATGGAGAACTACGTTGTGTAGCTTTGTGCTTATAACAATAGGAAGAAAGCTAATTTTAATTAGGATGAATGTTTATACATACAATTTCTCTTAAAAAAGAAGCCTGTTTCTATGTATGTGCATCTTTGTTTGTTTCTGAATTTCGCGCAAAGCTACACGAGGGCTATTTGCGCTAGCCGTCCCTAATTTAGCAGTGTAAGACTAGAGGGAAGGCAGCTAGTCATCACCACCCACCGCCAACTCTTGGGCTACTCTTTTACCAACGAATAGTGGGATTGACCGTCACATTATAACGCCACAACGGCTGAAAGGACAAGCATGTTTGGTGTGACAGGGATTCGAACCCGCGACCCTCAGATTGCGAGTCGAGTGCCTTAACCACCTGGCCATGCCGGGCCTATGTGCATCTTAACTTGAAGGTTATCGAAACAGATTTTAGTTAAATGTGTAAAACATGGGTTATATGTGCTAACCGCGGATATCTAAACTCAATGTTTAGTGTGATAAACTCGCAGAGCCAACGGGGTGAGGAGTTAGTGAGTTAAAGGATCAACTTCGTACAAAAAGTTTGAACGAGTGATCAGTGAGAAATGTGTTGTTAATGAAACACGTGCACGGAAAGCAAAGATATATATATATATATATTGTACATACACCATCAAACAATTCTCTTTTGTCGCCGTAGGTTCGTCTGTCAATACGTCGTTCGTACTTGCTTGCTACCTGGATCTTAGGCTGCGGAAACACGTAAAATATATGATACATAAAACACGTCAAATCAATAACTATCACATATTCGACTGTCAAAATTACTTTTAAAGTCAGAATCCATTTTGTAAGCAATTCCTTTAAGATAATTTTTCAAAGCCTCCACGATAACATAGTGCACAATTTCACGAGCTGATGTTTTGGTTCTTAATTTGAACTAAATAGATAAGTAATGGACAATTCGAATTTAATTACATATTCTAATATAAACCATAAATTTCAGAGAGGTAATTTTCGTCAACTCATTTTTCTTCTGGCAAAAAAACAACAAAAAAACCTCTATTTTTATTTGCATCTTGGGTTCTTCGGCTAAAAAAAAAAAAAATGTGTAAAATGCAAAATGAAAATAGTTAACCTAATCAATTTTCAATTACCTCACTGGCTAATTGAGAAAGATAGTAGAAATAACTAAGCAGTAAAGGTTCAGAGTTATCCTTGCAAGAACAAATCACGAGGGTAAACAATATAATAATGATACAGAAAATAGTTGCTTTTTAAAATTTTATTTCTCGTATCTTCGAACTTTGAGGGAAAATGATGGGTTCTAATAGCTGAACTAAATGACTAATATCTAGTTACAGGGACTATTTACTCTACTCATGTTCTCTCAGAAACAAAGCTCGGTTTAAAGCTTTACGGAATTATTTATTTTTTTAGGCACCAGATCTTTGGTAGAATCACATTAGATGGCGCTAACAGCACTATAGTCTACGCTGATGCCTCTTGAATTTTATCATGTGTCGAACGTAAACTAAATGCGGTTATAACTGAGTTACTGCATGTAGGTAACTCGAACTTATTCAAAGCTATCCACCCATTACACTAGTAAGGACAATTATTTTATCGCGCCCAATTTTATGTAGTTTCATTTGCATAACACACCTTTTAAAACACAAAAACTATTTGTATGTATTTTTTAGAATTAAAACTAAAATATAAAAATGTTTAGAACTTGTCTCGAAAACAACAGGAGGGCAAGATAAAACAAGATTGGAATGAAATATTTGACATGATGAATTTTTAATGAACATATACACCAAATTTATTGAACTAGATATAATTCTAATAATAATTGCTTTCCTGTTGCTTTCTGGTACGAAGTGGGAGAATAAAATTTACTCAAACTATCTATTTTATAGTGAATGTTATGGCCTAGACGATATACATATATAGTACCCATTCTTCTTACCGGATGTTTTCCTTGCAAAGCCCTAAAAAAATAAAAAATAAAATTAATTGAAACACTACAGCAATTAATAAATAATTAAAACATCATTCTTATAATGCAACATATTTGGTTTTCACTTTATTTGTAATTTCAACAAAAAGATATCGTTATCACACATTGAACACACCTTGATATTAAAACAGACATAGTCAACTTTAAGCATGCCTAACCGAAATGTTACAACATTCTGAGTAGAATTATCGTCACCGAACACAAATTTTTCTAGCTACATTTTTATTAATCAACTTGAACAGATTTTAACTCTTAGATCTGACATTTGTAATACAAATCACTTCGAATGCAACTTTCTTCTTGATTTGTCCATTTTCAGATCTATCCTTTATTAGGCCTATTCTATTATAGTACTTCGCCAGTATTTGGAATTTAAATCGTAACTTTTTGAATATTGAACCACAGTTAGAAAAAAAACAATCTATCCGCTATTTATTTATTAGCCGCGACATAGCGGCACATAGAATGGCTCGAAGTTGTTGTTTTTTCAAGTTCAAACGTTTAGCTCATAGCTCCATCTCTTGACCGATTTGAAATCTAATTACAGCCGCGGCTATTGAATATTATTCCCTCTTTTTTCTTTTTTTTAACTGGTATTGTACTGTACCAATAACGTACATTGCGGTTGTAGCGGACATATACTTCGTTGTACTGTACATATATCTATATAGCGACATCTTTGGAGAGATACGAGAAGTATTTAGAAGTAGGCAAATGATCGGGTAAATAAACTTACTACATTAGGTTCTCCCTTACTAGCAAAATGTAATTCGTAAAAACGAGGCTTTATTTCTAGAAATTGTACATTTGAAATATTCTAAGACTTTACTGTAGCTTAATGTACAATTTCTAGAAATAAATCCTCGTTTTTAAATATAAATAGCTCTTCGTTAAATACTTCCCAAGTACTTTTACGTGTATCACTAATGATTATTTAATACTCACTCAGGATCCAATCCCTTCTTCAAGGCCTTGTTTCGATTGATCTGTCTCTGACGCTCAGACAACTCCTTTAACTACAGTAAAAATATTTGACTTAGAACTTAGATCCCTAATCAACTATCATCTTTTCAGCTGTAAAAATACATTTAATTCGTTTTTTTTTAATATAATTTGTTTAAAATCAATCGTTTTTAAGCTTAAAAAGAAACATACTGCTCGTGGTGTAACTAGACCTCATGAGGCTCTGAAGACAAATTACATGGGAGTCTTTAACGAGTGCTCTTGACTGTTGTCTAGGTCACGTGGATTTGATCCAACCAATTAGATACATGCATATTTCCACAACTTCATGCGCTAGTGTTTTTAAGCCTTATTTTTGTATATAATAAATAATGAAAACACCAGATAAAGAAAATAACCCAATAACTGAGGCCGGAAAAAATTTCCTTCTACAACTTATCAGTGAATATCAAAATCATCAAGACAGTTTTGAACTACTTTTAACCATGGCCAAAAAACAGTTCGCACCGATTCATCCCATACATAATACAGAAACTCATAACTTCCTTTACAGTATAAAACACACGATACAAACCCCAGGAATAACACAATAAGTAGGCCACCTACAACTAAATCATACACATCACCTAGAATAAGGTATCACAAGTGTATTAATATGGCGTATATGTAAAATACGCGTTTGGTAACCTAATCCAGTTCAAGTGACGTTTACCAATGAATCGTTCGGGGATTTTAATGCAATCAAAGTAGTGCAGTGACAAGTTTGTTTCTTTGTTTGTTTTGAATTTTCGCGCAAAGCTACACGAGGGCTATCTGCGCTAGCCGTCCCTAATTTAGCAGAGTAAGACTAAAGGAAAGGCAGCTAGTCATCACCACCCACCGCCAACTCTTGGGCTACTCTTTTACCAACAAATAGTGGGATTGACCATCACATTATAACGCCCCCACGACTGGAAGGGCGAGCATGTTTCGTGGACCGGGGATTCGAACCCGCGACCCTCAGATTGCGAGTCGAGCTCCCTAACCACCTGGCCATGCCAGGCCGCAGTGATAAGTAGTACGAAATGCTACAGGTGCAACATGGCCCTGAGGAAGGAACTAAAATCAGTGTTTTTAATCTAGTATTTGAGCCCCGATTTCTTGAAGTTTACGTGTAGCATTTATCAGTTTTAAATATAAACCGTTAAGGAGGGAGAAAAGGATCAAATTTGTACCCGATCCTCCCAGGTTGCGAACAGTAACGCGGCAAACACCGACACGGGAACACACAGCTACTGGAGTTTTAAGACCATTCCTAGAAATGTGGCAATAAGGATGTCTTTTTTTTTTTCCTGTGATTTTACGTATTATATTTGAAAGTAAAAACTGGCAAATAACAAAATAAATACCTAAAACCGATTTGTAAAAATAAATATCTGAAACCGATTTGTAAAAATAAATATCTGAAACCGATTTGTAAAAATAAATATCTGAAACCGATTTGTAAACTTTAGTATATTTTTTAAACTTTTATCGTTTTCTTTTCACTCGAACGATCATTAGTGTCGAGTCCCCCCCTAGGGCGTCAGCGGTAATTTATGGAGTTGCAAAGCTGAAATCCGGAGTTCGATTCCTCGCAGACAGCCCACTGAGTAACTTTGTGCTAAAAACAACATTACAGACCGAAAGGATCAAGCTTACCTGCCCCCCTCCAGTGGCACAGAGGTATGTCTGCGGACTTACAACGCTA